TCATTAGTATTTTATAAACCTCCAATTAGAACTACATCCGTTTTAATTTGATGCAATAGCCATAATTTTTTTTCAAATATTTTTACAATTCATTTCTTGTAAATCTATTAAATTGCACATCAAACACTTTCAACGAGTATGTATTGTAACACACTCAAATTTATCGAAGAAACACTCAAAATAAGCAAAATATTTATTTAACTAGTGAAATTAGGATAACTTAAAAGCTTACAGCAATTAAAATGCAACTTTATTACAGAAATTAACTAATGGAAAAAGCTTAAAGTGAAACAAAAAACAAAAATTTTCGTAAAGCGAAACAATTTATTTCATTACAGTAAATACATATTTGCATGTTGTTTTTTTTTTCATGTTGCCTACTTATTGCTTAAAAGGCCAATCATCTGTTAACTAGTTGATTTTTATCTTTCTTTTCAATTAGAACCACATCCCGATTTAGCCCATAAATTGCCTTATTTATTGACTCACAATCAAACTAACAGAATTAGATCAGTCCTATGAGAAGCAAAAATCAAAAAAACAAAAAAAAAAACATAAATAAGAACACCATGCAGCGCGCGCCTCAGTGTGTTGCGCCCACTTTATTATTTCTTTTTTTTTATTATTGCAAGGCACCTAAATTGGCTCAAATTCATGTATGGCGCTTCAGAAATCTTTTCAAATGCCTCTCGTCTCGAACAACAAAGTTCAGGGGGCGTTGCATACCTTTCACGCGCGCTCTACTATATGTCGCTGTTTAACGTACAATTAGATACGTCACATTGATGTTCTTACCGCCCGAAAAAACAAAAGTTTACACGCACATACACGCATGTACTCGTACACTAAATGCCTTGGCATTTTATAAAATTAGCGCGTCAACACAAGCTATCAACGCTTAGATACAGGTTGATTGTCTCGCCCGAATTGCAGCCATTCAACTTTGGAAAATGCCAGCGTGCAGTGAAGTGCACAGTGAGTCATTCAAACGCATCTGAGCATATTTTCGAGTACATATCTACATATCTATGAACAAATGTGATTGCGGAGAGCAAATATTTAAATACTAAATTAAGTCCTCATTTAGATGTTCGTTAATTGAAGAGCACCGTTTGTCAGCGCCACAGAATTGGAAAGAAGAAACATATCAACACAATAAAAAATAAAACAAAAATCTAATTAAATTGCACCGTGAGGCACGCATTTTAGAACCACAAACAAACTATGGCCTAGTACTAGGATTAGAGCCCAAACGTGATAGTGAAACCCCTTATACCTTTCACAATTTTTTTTAATATAAGTTGCATTCAAGTCTAATTTTTGTCTTCAGTTATCTATATTTTGTAGAATTTTGTGAGAAATTTTCTTTTCATTTTAACTAATTTTACTCCTACTAAAGTCGGTCATTTTGACAATTAATTTGAATAAGTTCCATATTTATTTATAGAGTGTGTCACATTCAGTCTAGACGGAGACGATAGCCGCTCCCCGAAAAACAAGAGCCTTTGACTTATGATATATATCATATATGTACATACATAAGGGTGGTCCAAAAATGAATGTGAAAAAGTAAAGTCGGAATTTTAATGCCGCCACCACCTAGGATTGTTCTATACCGAAAAAATATACCCATATTTTTTTTATTATGAAATCAAAAAATATTTAGGAAGTGCTCAAAGCGCTCAAAGTTTTCCATGTATTTTATATGGGAAAAAATCAACTTTTCGTAGAAGTAGTGTAGAATTCCTGAAAAACCAACAATTTTTTCATGGTAACTATATTTTATAGGTCCGCCAAAAACCCCCAGAAAATGCGATGGGGAGACCAATAAAAAATCTTTAGTATTAAAAAATGGTTAAATAAATAATTGGGTATTAATATTGGAGGTCTCCTGAAGAGAACCACAGTTTTCCGATCGAAAAATATTAATTTTCAAGAAAAGTAGTTTTTTCCTATATAAAATGAATGGAAAACTTTGAGCGCTTTGAGCACTCATTAAATATTTTTTTATTTCAAAATAAAAATAGGGTTTTTTCGGAATAGAACAATCCTAGGGGTGGCGGCAATAAAATTCCGACTTAACTGTTTTTGGACCACTCTAATGTACATACATATGTATATGCAAACAGTGAGGAGCAGAAATGAGTACACTGTGATTTTTATTAAATACTTGCAAGGTTTTTAGAGTTAATTATTATGTTTTTAGTATTTTTTCATTAAAATATGTATAACCAAAACCATATAAATCAAACTTTCAAACTTCATACAGAGCTTAGAAAAATTTAACATTTTTTCGTTAAAATTTCAACTTTTTAATCCGATCTTTTGACTATGCATTTGGGTAGCCCATTAACTTTTAGTGTAACTAAGTGCAAGAGTCTGCAAAATCGCTTGATTTTCAATTTTTTTTTGCTGACGTTGAAAAGCAACAACAAAAAAGAAAAGTTTAAATTTTAATGAAAATTTTTAAAATTTTTCGCAGCTCTGTATTAAGTTTGGAAGTGTGATTTATATGGTTTTGGTTAAAGCATTAACCATATTTTTATGAAAAAATAACAAAAAAATATAAGCTTTATAAACCTTGCAATAATTTAACAAAAAAGTCACCCTGTACTCATTTCTGCTTCCCACTGTACAGAAGTAATATCGCACACCGTCTTCAAAAGGGACACAACTCGAAATTACAAGTTTGTCAGAAAATGTGGAAAACAATTTCTTAGCACATGATAATCATACATATGGTCAAGGGAGACTTTACCTTAGACTAAGTTCAAACAGGCCAATTAGCTGAGGCAATTAAGCTTTAAATTGCGGTATTGAGTTTGGTGTTCACACACACGTCAGCTGCGCAATTAGCGATATGAAATCAGCTGCAAAGTTGGTACAATCGTACGTTTATTTAGTTTAAAAGTACATTCGGTACAAACACACAATTTTAGGTACATTTGGAACCTAGCCAAATAACTTCTCAAGAAATCAGTTCTTATTTTTATTGCATTTTCCGGTGCGGGCAACTGGTCTGATAGCTTCCCTCCTTTGTGACGGGGCATTCCAAGTAACGCAACTGTAGTTGATTTCACCAGATAGACGGAAAATATTTATTTTTAAAACGTCAGATCGAAAAACAACATGGTTTTGTTTTGCGCTGCTCAAAAAGATTATTTTCATAGCCTAAATTTATTTAATGTGAGTGCAGAAGTTGATATGGTATCTATGGGAATTGTTATCCTCATATTTTCTTAGGTAGATCTATCCACTTTTAGGTACAGTTTTCCGTAAATTAGGTACAATTTTATAATTCAATTTTCCATCCCTGATGGCATATCAGCTGTAAAAGAGGACAGCTGATTGCTCTTCGTTCAATAAACATACCTCCAAGTCAAAATTAAACATATCTATTAGCGCTGGATAGAGAATCTACAATTAATAATTTCAATTTCTGTATGATAAATTGGGTAACAATTAGGGCTCAAATTGGTGAAAAGGTTCTTAATTGCCAACAAGGTGCCTGTTTTAACATAGTCTTAGGTTTTTTTTTTAACAAATTACAACAAAAATTTTCTTCAGCTTTTACTGAAAGGCTTTCCTTTTGGTTGCTGTTTCCGACAGGGTGGGTGTATGATATATTTTGGAACGTCATCCCTTGTCAAATTTGGTTTGGAGACAAACCGGTTTCGGCATTGCGCCATCTTCAGTGTCATTTTTCGTTCTGGATAATTTTATTTTTATTGGTTGCTCGTATGTATACTCTTCTTAGTTTTGCAGTATTTGCGGTGCTCCATAGGTAGATGAATTGTTCTGGCTTGTTTTCGCAACAGCCATACAAATTTATATACTTCTTTGACCCAAAAGGAAACTCATATGAATCTCTGGAACCCCTTAATGTGGATATTACATTTTATCTTCTTTTAATAATAAATAGCTCAATTGTTTATACAGAGGTTAAATATTATATAATAGTACATATATCTGTCCATAAAAATTAAAGCGGTCGCCGTTAAATAATTGCAACCCTACACACATGCATTTGTATCTTGCCATTGTCCACCGGCTCGTTGTCTCACCCACTCCAACAAAACAAAAACAGCCCAACAACAATTTATTTGCTCATACTTTCAATTGTTCTTGCTTCCTTCTTATTCTAACATGAGCAACCAGAATTAATTAAAAACAAAAAAACAAATTGTGCGCTTTCTCTTGGCCAACAAAAAAATTAAGAAACATTTTGTAGCATTTCTTCATAAAAAGAAAATTACTAAAGCTAAGAAAGTTGTATGCCCCCAGGCACATTGCGGCTACTCTGTCTGGCCGTCGAGCTAATTGGCATTGGTAATTGAATTGCATTTAAATTTAAAATGTAATTTGTTTGTATTTCAGCCCATTTGCTTTTAGTTTTACTTTTACTTTCATTTGTTTACAGTTCAGCCTCAGCTGTGGCTATTTTTTTTTATGTTTGTTTTGCAGGGTGTACAAGTGCACTGCGTGTGCATCACTTTGCACAAATGTCTGTATGTATGTATGTACGTACTTTTGCTGCATTTTGTATTTCGATATTGTTGCAATTAGTACAGCAACATTTCCACATGTCTCAATTGCCAATTGATTGATGTCTTCTGCTGGCCGTCGAGTTGAATTGAATTATTTCAGAAATTTTTTACACAATTTTTTGTGGCATTTTATCAGCGAGGTTACATGAGAAAGGGGTGACAATGACATACATGCATTTATTTTTGAGGTTTGGTGTTTAAGATTTTGATCAAAATTTGTGTTAAATTCAAGAAAATATTAACAACACTGTTCGTTCAAACTGCTTATTGTTTTGCGCAAAACCACTATTTTTCATATTTGTTTTATAGAATCATATAACAGAAATATAATTAAAAATTAAAAATAACAAAATATATTTTGGAATTCCATTTTTCTCTACTAATATGCGAACATCGCACATTTTTTAGAAAACTAAATAATTATATTAACTATTCTTTTTTTCTTTCTTTCAGAATGCGAAAGATGCAAAATAAGCACAAAAAGGTTAAACCTCAACAAATTCTGCAAAAGAGATTACGGTGAGTAGCTTTATCAAGTACGGCTTAAATCGTTGGGTTTCCTGCTATAAAGTATGTTTATTTCATTTTTTCAACAAAAATTTACTTTGTTTCAATCAAAAACAAAAAAAACTACGCCCTTCCATCTCTACCCACCAGCAATAATGGCGAAGGTGATTGGCCGCGAAGCGAGCACCGAAGTAACGAGCAGCAGCGAGCAGTACACCAAAGAAAATCAACAAATGGATCCCGACGACGAAGCGGAAGCCATGGAATCCACCTCACCCGAAACGGTCAAATACGATATACAAATACAGGCGATCTTCAAGCGTACCCCACTCGAATACGCAACAACGAATACAATCCTAAAACGGGGACCTTTGACCTGGATCATACCGATTAAGAATCTTGAATGTCGTTGTCCCAGAATCAAAATGAATCGGTAAGCTAATAGCAATGATGGGCATACATTTTTGGCCACAATTCTCAACTGTTAAATACAATTTTTTTTCTACACTCACTTTTAGCTCCTATCTGATACTGGGCAAAGATTCGGAATCGCCACCCGGCTATCTTGGCATCGGGCCGCGTTCCATTGTGATCGAATGGAAGGATGAATGGTATCGACGTATGAAACGATTTCAGCGACGTGCGCGAACGTGTCAGTAAATAAAAAAAAAGAAGGAAACTAAAACCCACACACTTCCGAATACATATGCACACAAACGCATACGCATACGCATATTTTAAATGTATTTGTATTTATTATAAATAATAATAATTTGGGATAATTCTTAAGGCTAAACTACTTAAATGCATTTAAAGTGAAAAAATATTAACACATCCATACATGCACACATGCGTACCAACATAAATACGTAAATTTAAATGCTTTTGAATGAAACTGATCATTTTTCGCTGTGTAAAAATTGAATATTTTTAGCGTACTTAAGTTAGGGTTTTCTAAAAAAAAAAAACTATAGGTGGCAATAATACGCGCTGTTTTTTTTAACATTTGTTTACTTATAATTTTTGCACTTATTTATTCGTTTTAATATAATTAAATTGTATTTGCTTACATTGGTTTAGTTTTAATTAAAAATAAAAAGCTTATAAAAACTTCAATCATAAATTTCTCAATTATATGAGCTTTTTCTAACTTTTGTAAAATTTTAATGAAAACTTGCATATGTATATTAATAATATACAAATGCAACTATTTGATATGAAAATTTGTGTTAGAATTTACATAAAAAGTAGAATTTTTTATTTACCAAAGTATTCATATGAAAGTGTCCTGAAAGCGGTTTTAAGAAAAAGGAAATATTAATACTAACTAAAAAATATCAATACATTTTCGCAACTGTAATACGCTCAACTATGCTTTTAAAACTTTGAAAGGGCACTAAATCGGTATTGGCCTGAAAGGTTTTAATCTGTAACAGCCCTTCAGAAAGCTTAAAAAAGCTTCGCACGCATGTCTATGAAGTGACCGACGGAGCTTCTAAATTACCATGAAATTACTCTCTGCCGATCAGCGCTGTAAATCCGTTGCAATAACTTTTATTTTTTTTTCATAAAACCTCTCAATTTGATGTTCGACAAGTCATCACCAAAATATAGCCCTCTGGATGCTTTTTAAAGCTTTCTTTAAAGTTTATGTAAACTTGCGAAGGGCAAACGTCTCTGATTTAGACAAGTACATGCCTATATACCGTAAGTATGCCAACCTATAAAATATATACAAAAGCTTAAAAAAGCTTGGCACGTATGCCTATGAAGTGTCCAACTCTAGAAGCTCGGTAATGGAACTACATACATACATTCCCAAAAGTATTGTAACTCGAAGTTTTCAAAACCTCTTATAAAATATGTAGAGCCCATGCATGTTCCGTGACATAATATGCTTACGTGCTTACAAAGAAGCTCTTCTCCACGATGCAAACCGGATTTAGGCAATTTTTGTAATTTTGCCAATTCTTTACTTAATTATTACTTTGATACCAACATAAATTCAGCTAAGTGAGAATCCCTTTTTTACAAAAATTTCAGCTGCAA